CAATTCAGATAGTATTAATTTTGGCTACTGGTGTATATTTATTACGTGACTCAATATTTAATTATTACTTTTTTATTGACGTAATATGTAAATCTGCATGAACTGAATTAAGTAGCATTACAGTAAGTATTAAGGTACTACTGTAATAAAAAGCAAAGTAACTTGCAACATAATTATTACAAAAAAAAAACCTATGGTTAATTAAAAATTTCCTTGCAGCCTTGGATTCACAAATCGATTATACTTATAAAAATATTGCTGCTTCCACACAAAATACATCAGTTTTAAATTTCCATTAATTTATTTAAATATAACAAAATTTCGATTAGTTTTTTTTTTTTTTTTTTTTTTTTAAATAACTGAATTTGTACTAATATAAAAAAGTTTGGTTGTTGGTAAATTTAGACCAACAATTTGGTAACTTTAGCTGTATTTCACAGTCAGCAAGTTTTTTTATTTTTTGGTTTACTTTAAATAAGACTTAAAATTATTGAATTCCCATTCAAACCGGTTGTTTTCCATTTTGGCTATTTATACTAACATCAAAATTACAATGCCGATATTACAGATAATATATATATATATATATATAACCATTGCTGGCTATATATATATATATATATATATATATATAACCATTGCTGGCTATCGCCAAAAATTATGCAGAACCTATGGATTGAGTTGTTTCATCATCAAGAATGCTGTCTAGAGTACACCACAGTGGGCGTTTGATTTCATATCTGCGAAAAAGAGGAAACTCCATCTTAGTTTGAAAAGAGAACACCCCAAGGATCTGCCACGCCTTTTCTCCTGCCAGCAACTTTAAAGAGGATTTTCAGCTGGATAATATTTTAAGTGCCTCCAGGCTAAAAAGACTTTATATTCTTAAACATCCATGCCTTTTCTACAATTTGAAAGCATACCCAATCTAAGACTAAGGTTATAAGGTACTTCTCCCACTTTCCTAGCTTGCCTTCATGGTGTAGTGGTTCTGCACACTGGGCCGGTATTTCAGAGGTCCATGCTTCGATTCCCGGTGAAGGCTTTGTTAATTTTTCATCTTTCCCGCTTCCAAAAAATGCTCTACAGTGACGCCTGAACTAAAAGGGTGTTGGATGAGGGTTCTCCACACCCAGGATTTAGCGATTCGGTCCCCTATAAAAACCCCAGTCGCCCTTTAAAAAGGGGAGTATATAAGGTATTTCTCCCACTTTCCTAGCGTGCCTTCATGGTGTAGTGGGCCGGTATTCCAGAGGTTCGCAATTCGATTCTCAGCAAAAATTTTGTTAATTTTTCATCTTTCCTGCTTTTTTTTTTTAAAAAAAAAAAAAAACCTAATGTCTCTAGAAGGTAGCTTGCTCCCCTTCTGCCTAGCCAACAGGTTTGGCAGGAAAAAAGTACATACCTAATTAGAAGTGTATTTATTATCTCAGGCTCATTTCCTTGAACTAAACAAAAACCAGAAGCCACTGATAAAAACATATATCATAACATTATGCATTAGACATATATTTACAACTGAAAAAGTTTTACAGTGTCTTCAAAGAAATGAGATTCAAACTAATTTACTTATGTTTGAATTCAAATAGGTGACTAATTTGCAAACTAGAAAAAATATCACAATGTTCATTTAAAAAAGTAAATCATTAGAAGTATTCTATCAATAGATCAAAATGAGAAAATACCTTACCTTGTGTTGAGGCTAAGGAGTTATTCTGAATTTCAATACATTCTTATTAAAATCAAACATTTGCATAATTCTCTAGTACTTAATGGGTAGTCTGAAGCTTTATTTCTTGAAAAGATGAATGCATCTTTTGCTTAATCAATGAGTTTATTTTGTTATTCTATTATTATATCTTCTCAAACACCACCATTTAAATCGATACAAATAAAGTTATATATATCTATATACTGGTATAAAATAAATAAATAAAAACATAATTTTTATTAAAAATTAATAAAAATTTTATTAATTTTTTAATAAAAATTATTTTAATACAGCAGTATAAAATAAATACTATATGTGTGTGTTCAATGAAGTTGGAAATTGTTTTTACTTTTTGGCAGAGCATTTTTTCAAAAATTAAAACAGAAATGAATGGACATCTTTTCAGCTATCCATAAATGTGTTGAAATTATTACATACTTTTTACTAATCTCATTAATATACCAAATTATTTAACACAAACTATATATATATAGTAATTATTTAAAAAGATACATAACAATCCCTATCCTCTCTCTAATAAAAATGTCTTAACCTTAGAAAAACTTTAAAATAAGCTGAAAGAAAATAAAAATTTAATAAAAAATGAATTCAGGATCTCTGTTTTTAAATTTAGACAGATTATTTTGATTTAAAAAAAATTGCTTCAATGTTTTAAAATATTTAAACATTTTTCCAATACTTAAATTTCAATATAGGAATAAAATTTATATTAAACTGAAATTTTACCCAAAAAATGCTTAAAATTTTAAATCAATGTAAAAGTAAAGTTTTGCATTTTTCATTAGGAATATTTTTCTCATAGTAAGCAAATATTTTTGATAAAGTCAATGTGATTATTTTATAACATTTTTTTTTATTTTTTGCTGAGCTCTCTCTCTATATACATAACATTAAACTATTATAATACATAAATATAAAATTATGTTCCACATTTTATATAACATTGGTTGACACAATTTTATAATGTTCTTATATTGCACACATCAAGTGAATAAACGAATTCTGAAACATGCATCACTTATGACATGACTGCTTTCATTATAGCATACACAAAATACTACCTCACAATCTCACATCCTTTTGCAAAGATAATTTATTTATATGATTTAAGCCCATACGTTACAGGCATTTAACAAAAATTTAAAGTTTTATGCTATTTTTTAATATTACAGTTAGTTTTCATCTCAGTAAATTGGTTCACACTGGTACTGTAATGCAAAAACTACTCATTACATCAGCAAAGCATTCACATGCTTTGCAAATAAAATTTAAAAAAATCAATAAACAAATTTATACCTGAATTAAAACAGTTAGGGAAGAGTTATATCATTTTAAGACAGCAGGAAGGAACAAAGATTCTGTTTCCTACACAGAAACAGATAGTACATAAATATACAAAGATTAATGAGGTGGTAATTTTTACAAATTCATAACAGCAAAAAATTCCAAATATTTGACATTATTTATGTTTGAATTTTTCAATGTTTAGTCAAATATTTTCCAATTTTGCATTTCATTTCAGAACTTAATTCTTACGACAAAAAATTTCATTAATTTAATTATGTAAATTGATTAGTATTATAGTAACTTTAAGCAAAGTATATATTAATAATCATAGTTTACCATACAAATTTAGGATAAATAAATGCATTAAGGAAGGACTGATGTTCATTATTTAAATGAAATACTGGATACAACTTGAAAATAACATTACTAGTCAGCTTTTATAAAACAGATGAATATAAAGCTGAATAAAACGATGTTTAATAACCCAACAGTAGAATTCACAAAAAAGTTTGTGAAACCATGTTTGAACAAAAATTTATGAAAACCACTGATAATATTTCAGTAATTAAAAAATATATATACATATATATAGTTACACTTCCTTGAAGAAATTTTATTCTGCTTCAAACTAGTGATACTATCAAGGATGAACAAAACTCGTATGTACTTTTCCAAAAGAACGTAAAATAAGGCAAGAACCATTCATTAATTTAAAAGAAGGAAATCATAAGATACATGGTTTAAAATTTTAGAAATAGTTTTATCAAAAAGTAAGGTCAAGCAGAGACTATTCTAGGCTGGTACAAATGGATTTTGACTCTAAATCTTGATATTTTCAACATATTATCAATCAGCCATGCTATACAAGATTATTTTTAATTCAGTATGGAAGAGACAATGAGACAATTATAAACCTCAGATCTTCATCATGAGTTAGACCAAGCTTCTAAATGAAACTTTTTAAAATGTTTTGAAAAAGCTGTTCTTTCATTTAATATCACTTCATAAATACTTTTCTTTGTATCTTATGTATTCACTTTCCAAAAATCAAATAATTTGTTCCTAAAAAACTCCTTTACTATATGTCACTTTCAAACTAAAATTAATTAAAAGTTATGTTAAGCTGTATGTAGAAATATAGGCTAATAGAATATTTATATACTTCACAGTTTAAAAATATGTTGCTCTGGAGAGCACAATAGTGTTACATTCAACACTGTTGTGCAACTGCAGACATTCAACATTACTTTTTGTCCAGCTTTAGAAAAACTATAACAGATATAATCAAATTTTAAATGAACATAACATGACAAATGTATTTTTAAAGCTGTACTTCTAATATGATAATTAACTTTTGCCTTAACATCCTAAGGTGCACTTACACAAGCATATGAAAAACAGTCATGAAAACATATCAAAATGATTTTCTAATTAAAAAAAATTTAATAATAATACTGTTAGCATCTTAATGCAGATATATTAGCTGCTTACAAGAAAGTTGATTAAATCGCTTAACTATGTTTAATTTAGGTAAAGTACACAAGTGCTATCTGTCTAAACTTCATTTCAGTTTTATTTAAAGCACAATGAAGATGGATTTAAAGGGCCTCTAACAACCAAATTCTAAAGAGTCAACAATTTTTAAGTGTACAGTTACAAACATCCACACCTGATCCAGAATTTGAACCGATAACATACAATGAGCCTTTGCTAAGCACATTGTCCATGATTACAGAAGTACAGTATGCAATCACAAATGAATGATTGAAGTACAGTATAAAATTACAAAATGTTAATCGATAATAAATTTAATCATACTTGAAAAATAGGCTATAGAAATGACAAATATTAAAATTATTCTTTATGCAGCATAAATGCTAATAAATAAAAAAAAACATTTAATAATTTTATAAAGGCTCAATTTTTAACAAACAGATTAACATAGTAATTAATATTGTATCTATTAATGAAAATTTTTACATGTATTTTTGAAGTTGTAACAAAGCAGTTTTAATATATGCAAAATTAAATATCAATACATAAAATTTCATGCAAGAAGGAAAATAATAAAAAAAATTTAATTAAATAAAAAAGTTTAAATTTGTTCCTCAGTGCAATTAGTATTATTTCATACCAGTTTTCAGAATCAATTTAACTCTTACGCATCTAATAATTTTGAAATTTTTGTCTAAGGTTATAAACTTTTAACTTTTATTAAAAATAATGCCAGAAATAAAATTAAACATCTCAAATATGAGAAAAAGTTCTTTGCTTAAAACAACATTTAAAACACATATTCATCTTATTTTACGTTCTTATACATCTTCATACACACATATTCATTCCCTAACACTTAAAATACATTACAATTAAAAATACAATTAAAAGATTTTCAAAATACAGACAATAATTTTAGTGTAATTCTGTGACTTTTACATTAAAAATAAATTTATTTATTTATATTTTTAGGGTGGTACAGTATTTAGACTACTACTTTTCTAGTAAAACACCAACAAAACATTTGTCTCTTACATGTGAAACAGTCATACTTGTAGGCATGTTTCTTTTGTCATAAACAATATAAAATTCATTATCTCATGCAGGAGGTCCTCTTACATCCAAGCTAATAACCACAAATAAAAACTGTGCTCATTCAGTGATAGTGATGGTAATAATAATAATAATAATAATAATAATGCATCACCTGATTTCAATAATGTAAGAGTACGCGTGATTCTTAAACACATTATTTTCTTTATTAGAGTTTCACCTCTTTTTTAAAGGAAAAATAATTTTCCTCTTGAACATCAAATTATTTTAAATCATCTGAATAAAATTTAAAAAAAAAAAAAAAAAAGATTACTGCCCTCTAAATATTAACATAAATTTAACAATGAATTGTAACAAGGAATTTAAAAAGATACTTTTTTAATAAAGTGGTCAGAAACATTTGCAAATAATTTGATTCACACACAAATATAGATAATACAAATATACTGTATTAATAATTTGACTTTTAGCAAAACTTAGATAAAAATGTTAAACAACTTGAATTCAACTTTTTTTTTTCTTTTTTTCTTTTCTTACTCTACAATAGCTTACACCAAAAAACATATTTTATAAAATCTACCTATTTTAACCAGTTGTTTCAGAATGAATGGTACCATTGAAGCTCTTCATATCAGCACCATTTACTTCCATTTTAACTGGTTCAGGTTCTACTTCGGGTATATTGACTTTTTTAGCTTCTGTTGTACTACTAACATTGCTAGAACTACTTGGCACTTCTTTGCAAGTAACATCATCTTCATCTTTTGGAAAGGTACATTCAAACACTTCCGAACTTTGATATGTGGTCCCATTATCACTGCTTTCTTTAGCTGCAGGTTCTTCTTTTTCTTTAATTTCTAAATCATCATCAGATGTTGGAGTATCACCTCCTGTTATTGATGTTACAACAACTGTCGGACATTCTTCAGAAGCTTTTGTAGGAATCGCAGGTTCACAGCAAATCTCTTCAGCAATATTTTCTAAGGCAGAATCTTTTATGCCTGCAGCCTGTTGTAAAATATAAATTCTTTTAAAATAAGATGCTGATATTGAACACATAGTATTTATACATATACTTGATTTTCAGAACGTTTTATCATCATCACCACATGTAGATTTTTACTTTAATGAAAAGAAAAAAAATGAGGTCGTTTAGAACTCTGAACATAATTTGTATTTTGCACATTTTAGCCCCTTATAAGAGCATTTCCCCCCCTTCCCCATTATACTTTTTCAGTGTCCAGACGTGGAGATAGCTTAAAAAAAATCAATGCAAATTTCAATTTTAATATTTTGATTTTAAACATGAGCTTATACTGGATTTTTATCTCTTGAAAAAGCACAACAATATTTTCTCTGAAACTGCATCTCCCATTTTTGTAAAGAAATATAAGCATATTATATTTAAAAAAGGGTTGAAGATAAAATGTACATTTAAAAAAATACAAACACATGTTTACAACACAGGAAACCAAGTTACATAAATACTGCATTCCATACACATTAATACAACTTGAATTTTTTGCAAGTTAAAATTTGTAAATTGCTTAAGTGCAACTTCATAAGCACCTGCAACATCTAATACTATTGTATGAATGTTATATGTATAAAGGCATTTTTTAAATGAAACATACAGCATACTGCAGTTTAAATGAAACTGTAGTATTTACTCATACGTAAACTATAAAAAGTGACAGAGTAAACACTGGAAGGGGATAACTGTGAAGAGAAATGCAGTTCTTTGTTAAATTCTGTCCCTCTCAACATTAAAGGCTACTGGTAGTTGGGGGGTCATCTAAGTTATCTTCTTGATGTTGTTGTGACATCTCGCTCTCAGCACTTTTTGTTACTGTAGACCACAAATTCCCAAAGTGGTAAACTTTGTCACTGCATGCGATGGATCCCCAGGGATCTAACCTGACCTACAAGATGCCCATGTCAACAAAAGAAAAAATTATGGGAGCATGAGATGTAAGCAGAAGTCCACAAGACTTTATCCCATTTAAACAGGTTATCACCAAAATTTAGGTATTCCATAAATGCCATAATGCACCTAACACAAATTTTATCTATGTATTTACATTGTACTTACATAATTAGCAAATATGCATATAAATTAACTAATTAAACTTGTGAGTTGGTACTTATTTTCTTCATGGTCACAGTTGTAACTTACAAAAACATTTGATACCAGCAGCAATGCATTCTGTGCACATTTGCAGTAGGGTTCCGAGACAAAAACACGACAAAAGCCCACTATGATAATTGCCCATGCGACAAATACCCACAGTGATGAAAGCCCACATACATATAAGCCCACGCTGATAAAAGCGCACATAATCAAAAGGGACTTATGCTTTTTTATTACTAAACCGTGTATTTATAATTTTAATTATAATAAATGGAGTATTCTGATCTGAATTTTAATGTCTCAAATATATCTGTTTGTATATTTTATCACTACTTTATTTGTTTAATTTATTAGGCTGAAAGTAAACTTTCTACTCTCTGATAAGTGATTAGCTATAACGTTTCGATGATAAATCTGAAATTGTATTTTATTATTTATTTACTTATTAACTTTAGTATGTGTATGTGAAAATGAAAAAACATCATTGAGGAGTTTCTCACATGCTATTTTCAAGGTAATATGGCTGAGATTAAATATAATCATGTTTCATTATTAAAACTATTAACTTTTTTATTAAAAAACACTTAAATTTTATTTTCTTTCTTTTTTCCTTTAGTTCCTTTTTAGTTTAGAAATATTAAAAGAGTTTAGCATAATGATAACTTGGCTAAGAGGCATTTTATTCCTTACTTTAGACTGAGTTTATTATCAAATTTAAACATATTTCTCATTGAAAGCTTTTTTGAATGTAACAATTATAATTTGGGCGATTTTCTAGACATATTTTCTTTTAGATTTCTAATAAATTAAAAACTGTCAGTGACACCCTGTCAGAAAATGAATCCGAATGTAAACTTTAATCTTTCAACTACAGCACTTGGAATAGTGTTTTTAATTTTCATTTTATTTATTTATTTATTTGGAGGGGAGGATGGAACAACTGTTAGAAGTCAACATATCCACAAATTTAAGTACAATCACCTCCAACTATAGTAACAGAACATGTGTGGACGACAGCGGACAAACGAGACTATTTCGGCATGAAAAGAGGACGGACGAAATGGCACTAAGCCAAGGGAAGACATGCCTTCGTGGAGGACGTTTTAAAGGAACTCGCTCGTATACACGTTATGCAAGGGAAAAACCATGAAAGTGCCCTTGCATTCAGCCTTTCCATCGGAATTTGAACCCCGGACTGAGCTACCAGTGTTCAGCGCTTTTACCGCTTGGTCGCTGGTGAGCTTTGTGCCTACATGAAAAGCTTCAGAGCTGGATGACTGACGCTTTCTTAATGTACAGCTTTTATTCCATTTTTAATAATTTTTATTCATTCAACTAATTATTTATTTTTTTCTGATATTTGAACTTTTTCTCACATTTATTTTTAAAAGAACAATGTCTAGAAAGTTTTGAGAATCAAAAATATATGATTAAGTCTTAGATGAGTTACGTTCCACCAATCAAAAAAGTGTTTTCACGTTTAGAATGTAATATATGTAAGTTGTTATGCATACAGCTTATCTCAACAAATGCTCAAAATTTTTTTCTCCTTTGAAATCAATAGAAATTTTTTTATGAAACTAACCCCAGTAAAACGTAGAATTTTATTTAATTTTATGCTTGAATGTTAGTTTCAAGAATGGAGCTAACAAACAAGTTATAAGGTCTAATTGTTCACAGGAGTATGTAAATTGTCAATGACCTTCTGTAAGATTGCTAGTGACTTTTCACTAGTCAACAGAGTCTGCCGAGCGGTAAAGTCGCAGAACACTGGTAGCTCAGTCCGAGTTTCGAATCCTTTGGACGGGCTGGCTGCATTGGCATTTCTGTAGTTTTCCCCATGTGTAATTTGTATGCGAGCCAGTTTCTCTTAGAAAGTCTTCCACGAAGACAACGGTTGGTATAACGGTTAGCACACTCGGTGCGTATTCAAGAGGTTCAAGTTAGAGTCCGGGCGAGCGCATTGCTCATTTTTCACGTCTCCAGCATGACGCCTGAACTAAAAAAAAGGTGGTGGATGATGATTCTTCTCCACCAAGATTTCACGACTAAATCTCCTAATACCCAGTCTTTAAAAGGGGGAGTGTATACGGTATTTTCTCTCTCCTTCCAGAATGTCTTCGGGGTATAACGGTTAGTACAATCGGATCGTATTCGAGAGATAAAGGCTCTAGTCTCGAAGAGGGCAATACTTATTTTTCATGTCTCCCGGGGGAAAAAAAAAAAAAAAAAAAAAAAAAAAAACCTTATGACTCTACAGTAAGAACTAAAGATCTGTAAAGTATAAAAGTCTATATTTAATTCAACTTGGCTCAGTCTAGACCAGTGATTCTCAACAGTTCTTCCCTCATGTGCCCTTTTCACCATTGCTAAACAATCATTCAACCTCTCCTTCCTAAAACTTGAAAAGTACATATGCGTTTGTTTAAATATGGATTATTTTTAATGTAAATTAAACAAGTATAAAACATGTTGTTAAATACCGAAATTTTAAATAAAAGTGCTTTTTATATTCATAAACTAAATCTAAATACATAAAGAAAAGTTTGACTAAATTACTTTCTGAAACTGTTAAGTTCCCCTTAGGGCTATCCCTCCTGATTGAGGACCCATAGTCTAGACAAAATTAGTTTTTAATAGTGACTGAATGTACAGATAATTTAATTTGTCCCACTTCTCTTATACTAACTTTTGTTATATAAAACTTCAGATTACGTGCATGTTTTTTGAAAATAAATGTTAAGACACAAATTTTAAAAAAAAATTATGTTTAAAATTTAATGTTGAATTCAAAAAACGTTTATTTGGTAGCCAGACCTAACAAACCTAAGAGATCAAATTTCAAGTATACCGACTTTCTTACTAACTTCTGCTAATGGAATTCTTAGAAAAGAACCTTAAAAACTGTTGAAACATTTCATCTAGAAACAAGATATTAGAAACGTTTGAACTCATTCAATAAGAGAAAAAATTGTTATTTAAAATGAGCTCCATAATTAGTATTTTTCTACTTGATCGCCAACACATGAGGTTTATAAGAAATATTTCCTACCAGTTATGTGGCTACTATTTCTGTGTTGTCAGAATATGAAATTCGTATAGGGAAAACAATGCATTTCGAGGTGAAGAAAATGACCTTAATTGATAGTTTTTCTAAATAATAAATTTTTACATGTTATGTGTTTCTTTTTCTTAATCTAGGCAAAATAATGCTCAATATGTAATAACAGCATAAAACCCACAAAAGAAGTGTTCCAGTGAAATTCGGTTTCGAAATGCTGTTTTAATTTGCTTTATTGAAAGTCTGTATATAAAAAATTATACGGTAAATTAAAATGAACTGTTTTCTAAGCTTTTACAGTTAATCGAGTAACATAATATTTTTTATTGAAATAAAAATTACCTTTAATGTGCAAGATTACTTTTCTTACAACGCTCATGGTTTATGAATGGCTCATGGTTCTTAAATCCTCTTGTTCTTGAGTTCAGAAACCTTCGTTATTAAAATTATTCGAATAGCTTAACTTTTATATGGTTTCATATGTTTCATTTTAACTTTCACATGGTTGCGTTTTCAACCATATGAAAGTTAAAATGAAAAATATTATACGTAAATTTTAATATATGTAATAATTTAATTCTTTTAGAAGTAGTTCAGCAGTTTTACTTTTAAACAATGGCTTTGCTTCGATATAACAGACATGTTTAATTAGTTCATCAAAAAGTTATTAGAGACACTATCGAATCAGGAACTAGCATATTTTTCCACTCTGCAGTTTTGCTGCAAAAACAGTGAATTATCCCTTTAAAAATGGTTAAGAAATAGTTAATTCCTTTCGTTTTCAGGTTATTGAAATTTTTAAAATAATTGAAATTCTAACTAAATCCTTAGATAAAAAGTTACTCAAGAACTAGACTAAAGAAATGCAAGAAAGGGGTTAACTTCAATTGCAAGCGGAATTTCAGATATTGTTATTTTCTAGTAACTAACAAAAAAAAAAAAAAAAAAAAAAAAAATTTAAAATCCTCTTTAATGTATTCCTGATCAACCTATAATTTCTCTCCTGCCACCCCCTCCCTTCTGAGGCCATTCTTTGGCAAACCCAGGTTCGATAGGGGATAAAGCAATTAATCAAGGCTTTAACTGCTTTTTCACACAGCTGGGGGCAAAAGAAAAGGAACGCAATGGTTTCCCGCCTGAATAGCCAGTGGCCAATTAGAAAACTGCATGACGAAAACCCACAAGACGAATGCTCACTTAAAAACAGCACACATCTTCAGGAAATTCAAAATAGCTATGACTTCCTGAAAAATTTTACGAGTAATAATTATTATGATTAAAAATGAAATTTCAAGTGGGAGTGAAATTAATTTATATAAAATCCTAGTTGTCAAAATTTAACTAGATTATTTGAAATCGTGCTTTTAACTCACCATTAAAACAGTGTTTGTGATAGCGCACACAAATGTTTTCTTAATCATAAGAGAATACGGTACTTTTATTTTTTACATTGAAATGAAAGTTCGGCTTTAATTCTCCATATTAAATTAATTATATGCAAACCTTTCTGCAGTGTTAAATTATTCATAAATTATTCTCTGTATATGATGAAAATTTACATACATTTTATACTCCTTTTAATTTTGTAGAATTAATAGAAGCAGCGTCACCAGTATTCCCTTTGTCGGATTTAAACGAGGGCGCTTCCATTTGTTGCGTAAATATAAATATAAAAAATGTATAATTACACATACATAACATGCCGAATAAATACTAATTCAGAAGTCAAACAACAAAAATCAGCGTTATATTTTCAAAATTTTCGCAGGGCTAGTTTCGATGGTTTTTACTGAACCACCATCCTCAGCTGCAAAGCCGCAAAAATGAAAGTTCGCAAAAACGAGGATAACTTTGATTCAAGTTAACATGTATGTACCAATCTAGCTATTTATATTTTTGAAAATATTTGTTTTCTCCCACCCCCATGTTTCTCTCTGACACTCACATTTATAATTGGCGAATTAAAGAAGTCTGTGCAAGCACAGGAGGTACAAGTCTGTGTTGTCCTTGCAAAGCTCTAGTACATGCCTGGACAGGTATTGCTACTACATGGTGACCACACAAAAGACCACTGGACGAAAGCGCATGCGACAAAAGCCCACAAAAAAGACCCCACTAGGATAATTGTCCTTTGAAAGCAAAATACTATAATTTTTAATTATAGTATTTTAATTGACTCTCTGTTCTATATACATATAGGATTTTAATTCAGTCGGAGCCCAAAATGAAATGTATTCCTCTACTTAAATTTATTTTTCAATTATTTGTTATTAATTTAATTTATTTTTTATTTTACCTTTATTCATAAATCTGCTTTGTGAAGCTGAGGAAAAAAAAAGGAAAAAATATTAACTTTAACATTTTTGTGGTTTTGCAGCTGAGGATGGTGGTTTGATAAAAACCATCAAAACTAGTCCTGTGAAAATTTTGAAAATATAACGCCGATTTTTGTTGTTTGCCTTCTGAATTAGTACACATACATGTATAGGTTTTTAATTATATTATTTTAATTGACTCTCTGTTCTATATACATATAGGATTTGAATTCAGTCGGAGCCCAAAATGAAATTTGTTCCTCTACTTAAATTTATTTTTCGATTATTTATTATTAATTTATTTTTTATTTCATCTTTATTCATAAATCTGCTTAGTGAAGCTGAGGAAAAAAAAATTAATTTTAACGTAGCATATATATCGGTGTGGGTTTTTGTCAGTGTGGGCTTTTATCAACATGCGCTTATATCTATGTGGGCTTTTATCAATGTGGGTTTTTATCAATGTGCGCTTTCATCGGTGTGGGTATTAATCACGTGGGCAATTATCCCAGTGAGGTCTTTTTTGTGGGCTTTTGTCGTGTGTGCTTTCGTCCAGTGGGCTTTTGCCTGGTCATCGTGTAGTAGTCCAGGCATTTATTACAGCTTTGCAAGGACAAAACGGACTTGTACCATCTGTGCTTGCACAGACTTCTTTAATTCGCCAATTATAAATGTGAGTGTCAGAGAGAAACATGGGGGGGGGGAAGAAAACAAATATTTTGAAAAATATAAATAGTTAGATTGGTACATAGATGTTAAGGTGAATCAAAGTTATCCTCTTTGAACTTTGAGAAAAGTAAGTAAACTGATTTATTTATTTGTTTATTGATAAAATATTCTTTTTTAGTTTCTTTGATAGTGAAGAGATGCCAATCACATTTACAATACCATATATTTTCTAAAATTTAAAGTGGGCACATCTAAAAATAACAATAAAGGTAATTCTGAAAATTTTCTATGTTTTGCAGCAAATAATATATCCCCCTTTAAAAACACTGCAATATTTTATGATTTAATTTTTTATAAATTTTTTGTATATGGTAAATTTTGCAGAGTAACTTTAGTTAATGAATACTAAAACTTGGTAAAAATAACGCCCCAACTTAAAAAACACTGTGTATACCTAACTCAACCGGGAATCAATTTTGAATTCCTATGTTTTATCATATTTGAATAGCTTAATTTTTGTACACAGATAACTACTTTTAAATATGGCTCAATCTATAAAGAAATGAAGGCAGTATAGCAGTGAATATTTGAAGTTCGACTTCATCCCAACATTGTTCAACAAATGCCTGCCCATGTGCCTTTTATGTAACTAAGTTTTAAGCAATGACTCCGTGAAACCACCCAAGACGAAGGATCATCTGAGATGTCACCCTGATGAAACAGGCATACTTGCCAACGTATAATAATCAAAAATCAGGAGAATTTTCTCAATGAGAAATGAAAAATTCAACATAAAAATATATACAGAAAATAGCATTTTTTAATAATGAACTGACTGGATCAAAACATGCTTAATTTACAACGCCTACTACATTCAAGGTGTCAAATTACTATCTCATCATGCTTGAACACATCTTCATTGCTGGCACATAATGCAAGATTACAAAAATTCCCATTATTGAAATTTTGTGCAATTAAATTCAGGGTTAATCTTCAGTGGTACAAGTATAGCAACATTAGGCAAAATATTTATTAGGCATACCATAGTGATAATTACTAGAATATGATACCTCACTTCAATATAGAATGAGGAAGCCAGTCACATTATTCAGTTAAAGCAGACTCATAAGCATTAATATTGGCCAAATCCTGTCATACTCAAATATGCCTTGATTTGGCTAAATATTAATCTTGGTTAACCAAAGGCCTATGGCATTATTTTACCCTAAATTTGTAAAAAAACAGGATTCTCCTCTGAGCTACAGAATTTCTAACATTAAGTACTTGTATCTTCAGAAAATCAATATTGATTCCTTTAATTATAAGGGAAATTTCTTCCCTCCAAGTTATTTGATTTTCTTTCTTTTAAATACAATTTTATACATTTATTTACTTCTAAGTGACTAAATATATAGAAAGAATATTGTTATGAATTTCGTACATAGATAGATGATTTTAGTGCAGTTATATGTGAAATTGTTGGATTTTTCTGTGTAATGAAATGCAAAAAAATCTAAAGAGACGAGCTATGTTGGAAAAGTAAGAGTACAGGGGCAAATCTGTTTAACATTGAGTAAATGTGTATCTCGGTAATTTGGTGAGGTATCACAAAGCTGGCAACGGTTTTGGCAACTAATTTTTGTCACCAAATTTGGCGAAAAATCACGATAACTCACCAAACTTGGCATCTATTTGGTGACATTCTGGTCTAGTCCCTGTACCACCGTAATAGGTATTGCAATTTAATAAATGTAATTGATCACTATATTAGCTGTAACTGTAATTTGATTCTCATATTGCCTTCCAGTAATTTTGAGAAGCAGACATTACTAGAAATATCTCGGTGGCCAGGTGAAAACTATATAAGGCAGGACAAAGCATCTGCTCTCAGTTGTTGCTATTAGCTCATCGCGAGTTCGGAGTACTGAGATATTTCCAGTTAGCTGCACTTTGCATTGCATTGTGTTTAATGTTCACAGTAATTTGAAATGTAACTACTGTTTATACTCTGTGATATCATGAAGAATTGTAGGAATAACTTTGCGGAAAATTCCAGATCTCGGAAATGTTTCATTTGATAAAATAAATTTTACTAACCTATCATTGGACCTGTGTGCATTTAATCTATTATGAACCCGCATGGGCGCAACAATATATTTTAAAGTACAGAATACGAAAATAATTTTAATTAGATATTTATTCTACGGTAAAAATAATAAAATATATATATTTAATCTATTATGAACCCGCATGGGCGCAACAATATATTTTAAAGTATAGAATATGAAAATAATTTTAATTAGATATTTATTCTATGGTAAAAATAATAAAATATATATATTTTTCAATACAGATATATGACTTAAAATACATATAATGTGATACCTTATAAAAAACAACTTTGAAGCTTCAATATATGATGGAAATGAGAAGCTGTGATCGTAAAGATTAAATATTTTAATGATAGTAAAAGTTGTTAAACATATTATTTGGCTAATGTAGAATGAAATACTATCTATAAATATAAACACTACTTTTATGATTACCATAGTCTTTGTTGGGCTCTCAGGACTAGACACAAGAGGTGCATATTTTCCAGTATCATCTGGAGCTGAAAGATGAAAGTTAAACGAAAATAAGCATTCAATATAAATCTTTTAAAAACAAAATCTATAGAACAGGGGGAAAAGGTAAAGCATATTAAATGTCACTGATTTCCTAACAGAATGAATTTCAAAAATTTTAAATTGATTTATGAAAGCAATATTTATAAAAATAACTTATTTAAGATGCTATATGTTATGAGACTATGCATGCAAATTTGCATGACTTGAAAATGTTCTGCTTTGCACTACACATGAATACACAATAGTATACTTCCATTTAGAAATATTATTCTATAATAATTATAAGAGAAAGCAAAAATGTAATTTTTTTACAAATACTATTCTTTAATACAGAATATAAATTAGTTCATATTATAAACAGACACAAGTATAAATGTAATATCATGCATATTCATGCATTTATACTGTACACATGCATGATGGTTAAATATATGTACATAAATGTACACAAACAGTCTAAATACAACATTTAATTAGTCTAAGGCAGCATTAAGCAAAATAATTAAAAACTTCAATGTCTTCCAAGATTTTAATCAGCTGGTAAAATAAAAGTCAAATTAGTTATTACATGGTCTAATAATCACACAGGAATGACTGCAAAGTTTAAAGCAAATATATTAAAAAAATTATTTTAGTAATTTAATTTTATTCCAACATTTAATTAAACATTCTGCATAAGAGAAAATACTTGAACAGAAAATGATTAAATTGATATTTACTTTTAAAGCAGTCTCTAAAATTAGCGCATCTTTATCGCAACACAACTCAAGTAAGCACAAATTTACCTCAATTTTTACAATGAGCAGATTTTAGGTTTTAAAATAAAAGGATTTTAGTTCTAAGAGCTTATTCATGGTGGGGTGATATCCTGTTTCAATAAATTCTCATTTTTACTCAGTAATCATTAACCCTTAATATTATGTTTACTGCCTAATTATTAATTTTAATGATACATGTGGAGACAATTGAAATTTTTAGAATTAAATAGCCAATTCTTTGCATGTGAAATATTTAAATACTTTTTTTAATACTTCTCAGATGTAGATGTCCAAATTTAGTGAAACACTTCCAGTTAATGAAAATTTATTGCTTCTTAAAAATCATTTGACTTAGAATAGTATTATTACGAGTTTAAACATTTCATGGAAAAAATTCCCTTGGACTTCAATGAAAACAATTTGAGACAACACTGTTTTTTATGCCCTAATAACATTCTGGAATGTATTTGATTGAAAAAGGATATTTATTTATATTTGTCTCCATCTTATTTACTAAATGCAATTTACTACTTAGTGTAATGATTTTATGTTCAGCGTGCAACTGAACACAATTGTTATAAAAACATATGATACTTTTAAACTAATAAATTTGAGCACTAAATAATATTTAACATGGAATCAATATAACAATCAATCAGATATTTTCAAACCATTTTTAACTTATTTATTTCTAGTAAAAAAAAAAAAAAAAAAAACGCACAGATATTTTAAATATTCTCTCGCATCAAAATTTAGCCATAATTTTTGCATCAAGTATGTGGAATGTTCTTATTTTTATAAGTTATATATATTGATGCTAATTTCAGTTATCTGCTAGAAACAAAACAGCCTCTTCATGCCACTAAATTTGTTTTTGCACAATGTGTAATATCACTACTCAAAATTACAGAACTTTATATGATTAAAATAAGTACAAAAACAGATGCATTATCTATGTTACTATGGTAATTGTTTTCTAATAACATTTTTTAAGCTGCTGTTAATCTACATTGTACCACATTACAAAATTTAACATTTAAAAAAGAATTCCAGATACCTCCTGATTTGAGTTCGGTGAAAAGATCCTGATAACCTTTAAAATATCTTCATTGATAACAAATTTTTGTGCTTCCTCAAATAACTAATCAGAATTAGTTCAATTTCTGATTGTCTTATCATGGCATTAATTCTCTTCACTCCAGCATATATTAAAATTTGCAATTTAAATTCTGTAGTATACCTGAGTAATCTTGTGTAGCATTATTCCAAAAAGATTTGACACTAGACTGACTCATATGAACTGGCAATAATGTGACAAACTTTGAGCCTCACACTTGAAAACTAACCAAGGTTCTAGCCTGTGAAATCAAGATGTGAACATTAATACAACTCCAAGGTATATCACCAGCACCCAAAACATTCTGTTGGCTAGGAATAGACCTCAGGAAGAAAGGCGATGGGAAACTTGTAACTGCTTTGCACTTCCCGAGAAAGGGATGTCTGCTCCCACAGATTATGTTGACTTCTTATATTTCCATCTTTACAAATGAGTTTAAAGATTAAAATTCTAAAGAATGCTGTTATTATTTTCTACATCCATGTTGTTTTTTTAATTTTAATCGAAAAGTTCCATTAAAGAGACTGGTGGTAGGGCTAATTTTTGCAAATGCACTCATTTCATGATATATTATCCTGACACTTCGGTTACGTTTTTGTCTCTGAAAGAACAGAGATTAATTAAGGGAGGTACATAGTTAAATCAGAAGTTGATAAATCATGCTTAAATTGCAGTGAGGAAAGCATAAACAAATGAGAAGAAATACACTATTAACTATGATTATTCTCCATTTCTCAATAATATTTCTCTAGCTTTCAATGCTCTTCTCCTGCATGTTGTGTATCGTACTGCACAGCCTTATTAGGCTGCATGTAGTATATAAAAGAAAAACTATTATTATACCAGCTTTCACAGATAAATCCATATTTTTTAGGTTCTTGCTAAAAATTTATTTTAATTCATGCGAGATTATATATCACAGTAAAATCTATTACAACCAAAATTTTATGACTTTTTATTAAATTGTTCTCTTTTCAAAGAATGCTTCTGGTTTCTCTAATTTTATGTTCAAATTTGTCTGTGCTTATTTTCATTCCAATTTCCTAAACGTTGAAAGTAAGTAAAAGTTGAAAAGTTATAAGTCCTAAATGTTGAAAGTTGTTGAATTCATATAAAGCACACCCTCATAAAGACATATTTGCATGGTAGCCAAAGAACTTGCCATTTCACCAAATCTTATTTATCAAACAGTTTTCTATCAGAATTTCTATGGCTCTGTAAATTTTCAATTTTTCACTCATCTAACAGTGAATAATTTTACACTGTATTCAGGCTCATATAAATATTAAAATATTGCTGAAATAATACCATAAAATATTATTTATTATGAGAACCTTGCAACATTATTCACCATATGCCTAATTTTTTATGCACAGTAAGGAATTTCTTGGCATTTAAATTTATATAATATTAATTTGAAAAATATCAATAGATTAAAGTATAAAAAAACTTGTAACAAGCAAATATCTACTATTTACTACAAAACAGTTGGAACCTTCATAAAATATATAATAACTTAAAGATAAATAAAAAAATCCTCTTGACACTTCAATCAAAAATCAACTAAGAAATAATATTTTTTAGTAATCAGTTTATTAACCATATGCTACAAAACAGCATTAAAAAAATTCCAATTCACACTGATCTTGCATAAGAATTTTTAAAAAAAATAATAAAAACAAAAATCATAACTTCTAATAAATTTAGGCTTTACCTATGAGTATGCATGCAAAAATGTATTACGGAAAATAAAAGATCATTTTATTCTGTCTCAAAGAGAAACTACTTTGAGTAAGTAAAATGTATGACTAAAAGTCACTGTTACCATGCACTTCCAATCTTTATGCTGCACTTATGAAACAATCAATCAAAAAACTCAACAAAATTTTAAGCAAATTAGTTGAAAACTGTGATTACCTTCCTATGCATAATTAAATGATCATAAAATAATTGATTAGCAGTAGTTAAAACTAGAGAAACTAATTATTTTTTCACTGCCGTGAAAGTTGCATCTAACTGCAGCTACAATTTTAGAAATTAAAAAGGTTATGTAAGCACTAGCAGATGTAATAAATTATTTTACAGAACCAGTGCATAAAAAAAATAAAATTCTTATAAGGGGAAAAAATGAAGCAAAATTCGTAAGATTTTACCAGGAGCCTCATGTTCACTTGATTCAGTATCTGAAGTTGAAATCTGTTCTTGGAACTGTTGCTGGGGTTTTTTAGTTAATTCTATATGAAAATCTTCATCCATGTTTATTTCAATTGCTAGAATTATTTAAATTAACAAAGTTTGATCGTATGCATCATTTAAGATAAAAAAAAAGTTAATAAGAAGCCTTGAAATATAAAAATGAAGTAATGGCTTAAAATGGAAACATGTAAATCAATTTTTGAACAATTTACTCCAAACAACTACGTAGCAAGCAAAGAAATCCAGCTTTTCAAAGTAAAGCCAGTTGCTTTAGATGCAAATGCTGCAAAATTATAATTTAACAAACATTCACGGAATAACTAAAATTAGTCTAAAATTGAACTGATTAAAGGCAATGTTACTTAAAAAAGGTTTTTTAAATCTATTTTAATATTTTAAATGTAGCTCTTTTTGATTTTTTTCTTTAATTTAAATGGACAACTTTTGCATGTGAATATGTTTCCCGTGATAAGCACACTCACTTGCAGCAAGCAAAAGCACTAAAACATCTGCTACAATTTTAAAAATGTGTTTACAATGAAAGAACAGCAGGCATGACTCTGAGTTTAGCACTAGCACTAGCAGCTATGCAGGTCTGCAGCTATGCTGAAACTAACAATACAAAATTTAGATTTAAAAAAATTCAAGAGGAATTTTTATCTTGATGGCAATATCTTAAATTTGAATGATTTTATTATGGCTATTATTATATTATGCACATTGCATCTAACAGTACATCATTCTTTAGAAATGAGATCATTATAATTACTATTTCTGTTTTTTTTTTTTTTTTTTTTTTCCAATTTCATCTCCACTCTGTTTTAGCAATTTGGTATTCATAATGCAATGAAGGAAAGTTATTTGCGCTATAGCAGTCTCTCTCACCGACATGGGACATTGTCTCTCCTGTCCT